CGAGATACGATGCCAAGGAACACGATAGAGATGCCATGATTTCAACCGGCAACAAATCAACTCGCATTAAACACAATTACCCAACGACAGATGACGTAGGGTACCGAGTTAGTTGCTACTCGTTATCCGGCAAATTGATCAAACTGCCTTTACTTAAGTTTATCTATCCATCACCAGCCCTACGAGGTCGAACGTATCAGTTCTGATAAGTTACGCACCTGTTATTACTATAATAATAAATTAAAATTACGAATATATCGCATTTAAACATTATTCATTTTTTATTTTCGAATTTTTAAATTTATTACATTTAGAAATTAAATTGTGATAATTATATATTAATAAATGATAATTAGAATTATATTATTGCAAGATTTTCTACAATTATAATTAAATATATTAATTACCCCTTGTTAGAAAATTTGAAAACACAAAATCATGAAATTCCCAACAAATTCTAACATAAATATATACATATCTCTTTCAATTAAAATGTTAATAATGTTAAAATTCCATATATTTCAATTAGAATCTCTCATATTAAAATCGATATCACATTCATATCGTAAAATACGAATATCGATAAAATCGTGTGAACTTCGATATGAGACATCTATAGAAAATATATTAGTTAATAAATAAACAATTCTCATGAAAATACTATCGTACCGATACCGAGGTAACTCTTTGAAGGGTGCGAACGCGGGCTAGAAAACTCGTGACATGGGCAGCTGTTCGAATTACATTGAGCTCGCCCCTGGCGCGTGGACGGTTTATTGACACACTCTCCAGGCGACCGCGTATTATTACCAGCGTCGTGCATTTACTACGAAATATATGGCTCGTTTTTCAAGAAAGAAAGCGACCGGTGGAGCATCGAGACGAATCTCGGCTCTATAGACTAGTAGAGGGAGAAAATCAACAATGCTTTTACGTTTCGTAGCGTTCTCTCCATTCTTCGCGCGGTCCTTCTTTTACATCGGATAGCATCGATTCTTTAAAATATAGATATTCGAAAACGCACATACGATGTTCTTTTAAACGACAAAGATATTTTTCAAGAGATTCAAATATCGAAGATGAATTCATTAATTTTGTATGAAATTTTAAATCTCTAAAATTCGAATGATACAAAAGATAATCGATAGTCTCGATAAATCGAACGAAAGATTGTGAATGTTGATTTACCAAGCGATTATCGTTCATTTTGTAATTGGCATTTCGTCGAACGCGATGTTTGTCGAAAAGTACATTATACATCTTTGAAAAAGCTAATTGTAATTGTTAAATATAAAATTAATATCTCTAGCAGTGGCACAATGTGAAACAAAGACAAAAGAAAGAAAGGGATGCGATATATAGAGACATGCTTACATTAGGTCACACGCATATGCTTTTGACGTTTCGCGTCCGGGTAGCGTCCGTGAAGGATTTCTTCACTAATATTTAGATTATCGATGGTAATTACTACAATGGCGTTCGATGATGTTAAATGTTATGAAAATTTTTTATGATACGTTCGTTCTTTGTGAACGAATAAAAACTTGACTGACAGAGGAAAAAAGAACGATCACGGAGACCGGGTTCCGTCGTTGTTACAGAACATCATATTCGTTCTCTTTCATCGTAGGTCATAGTATAAGTATCACTTACCTGCATGCTTCTCCGACTTCGGCATGGAGGCCATAGCTAGCCGATAGTATGTCCTCTCGAACCACGACACTATCTCACTATTTCTACGAAAGACCGCATCGTAAACTACACACCAGTGGCTGCCGCGGCGTTTTCAGTCTGATGTAAACCCGACGTGCACCGCTACATCTTCGTTTGTCAGCCATCTTTCGGGGCGCGAGCGCGCGAACCGCCATCACGCGGCCAGAATTTGAACATAGTCAGCATCAGTCCAACATGGCCGACGGACTGTCATTCGGGTGACATATCATTCAATTTTCGATTCAAAAAGGATGCTCCTGAACGATTTTCACGAACGAAACATGTTTCACGGCTATTTTTATATAAAAGTGTAAACGGCATTGATTAATTTGCAACGATTGACACCATAAGTATTGCCGTGTGAAAATTAATCGAAAGAGTGGCAACGCAACAACTGGTTTTGCTACGTTGATACAGTGGCACGCAAAAATCATTGTCCACCGATGATTGAATATAATCTGTAACAAAGTATAGTTCAATGTGTTTACATTATTATGAAAAAGTGTGAGTACTGAGCATCGATTGAAAATGTATAAAAATTATGTGAATTTTCTATAAATTAAATGATCGTTCATTAAAAAATAAAGTATTTGACAAAAATTATATTTCTGCTTCTCAAGAATTAATAAACATATTGACATAATTCACTTAAAAAGTGTAATATAAAATATATTTAGAAATAAGCATATGGGTTTATCTTGTTTTATGTCAACGAAAAATGGGAAATTCTGGTTTAAAACAGCATTACGAGACTGCAAAGAAAACCGGAACATTAAAATTGTCACGAAGAAAACTCCACGAATTTCCACAAAATTTATTAGCTTTGGCACCGTTGCTACGTACATTGGATTTATCGGAAAACGAATTTGTTCATATTCCCGATAATATTGGTAATTTTACATTATTAAAACTATTGAATATTAATCATAACAAATTGACAACTTTACCCGAAGCACTTGGAGCATTGACAAAATTAGAATGTTTAAATGCAAGCGCGAATCAAATAAAAACTATTCCATGGTCATTGTCAAAACTAACACGATTGAAACAAGTCAACTTATCTGATAATCGTATAACCGAATTTCCTCCTATGTTTTGTGATTTAAAATTTCTGGATGTATTAGATCTATCGAAGAATCGAATTACGACAATCCCTGATGCGGCTGGAGCGTTACATATAGTTGAACTTAACCTCAATCAAAATCAGATATCAACTATATCTGAGAAATTGGCGGAATGTTCGCGCTTAAAAACATTAAGACTTGAAGAAAATTGTTTACAACTGAATGCAATACCTAGTAAAATTTTGAAAAATTCTAAAATTTCAGTCCTGTCTGTCGAAGGAAATTTATTTGAAATGAAACAATTTGCTAATCTTGATGGTTATGATAACTACATGGAAAGATATACTGCTGTAAAGAAAAAACTCTTTTAAGAGATATTTTAATGAATATTTATTACTGAATCTATTATAGGTAATTATTATACGTATATAATTATTTTATAACATTGAAAAAGATGCCGCATCGTGTTCGCGTAATTATACTCGATACCTGCGATAATATAATATAGAAATAAAATTTTCAAATTAATTGATAATAATGTTTTTAATAATGTGAATGCTTATACGAAAAAACATTTTTTTATAAAGCGTTCGTTAAATGAGCACGATAAACTATATAGAGATATATATAAAACCATTGATCTAATGCAGTACTCATACTAGATTATAATTTTTATTACACGGATTATAAAATGACATTCTAGTATTTCGTATCACACTGCAATTCTTATAAAAATGTTCTTATATGCAACAATTACAATTCTTATGCATCGTTAAGATGCATAAATAAAATGTATTAAATAATAAAATATGTTTTATAAAAATCTTTTGTATTTTTTTTTTTTATATAACGCTTAATTACATGTAAATTAAAATAAGTACATAACATTCTTTTAAATCTCTTTATATATTGTAAAATATAAATATAATTAAAATTGTATGAAATATTTTCAAAATTATCGTAACCATTTATTATAAATATGCAAAATTATATCGTACAATTAAATAGTATAAATTAAATTTTGTAAAAATAAATTTCGTACTTATTTTTAATATATAATATTTTTATTCATTTCTTAATAATTTTTATCATAATTGTAATATATACAATTGGACGTATGCAAGCAAAATTATCTTACCATTGTAAGTGAAAAACAAATGATCTTTTGCATCCCAAAATGGCGTGTCTGGTCTTTACTTTCTCAACAGGAAGAGCTGCTGAAATTAAATAAAAAAAAAAATCGACAGGTGAGTTACGAGCAGTAAAAAAAGTTACATGTTTCAACTTCCAAGTTAGCAACCCTTCACTTGCGAATACGTGAGTAGCTTAACTATTACTTTGTTAGGCATAAGAGATTTGTATTCCACTCTTTTGCCGACTGAACAATTATAGCTAATTTTAGAGTGTATTCAATATTCGATGATCAGTTAATATGTGAATAACCAATGATCAGAAGCCTATATTGTTTTTATGTACTTATATTTTGTATAAGTGTTTAAAATTATATTATTAAAGTCACATTATTTATACGTAAACAATATATGAAATCGTTTTATGAATTTATATTTTGTTTGCAAATTAATCACGGAAAGTAATTACAATTATAAAATTTAAAATAATTGATTATAGCATATAAAAATAATATTTTTTTCAATAAATCATTATATTTATTAGTAACAATATTTTCTTTTATACACTTTAAGATCTGTTTTGGATTATTTAAAGTGTAACAAAACTTATCCAGATCTAGGGTACAGACGACAAGAATCTTATGTATGGAAGATATACTACTCTAATTGTTGAAACATTTAAAGATATTAAGTGTATAACCAATTCTAAAATTCTTGACATTTTAAATTATAACCACAATCATTTATAATTATAATAGTATAACAAAATCTTTATCAACACTGTCATCAATTGTTTATATTATACTTGCACCACAATAGAACGTCCAACTAACGACCATGATCGTACATCAAAATTTAAATGCCCTGCACCATGTTGATCATAAATTTTTACGTATGCACCACACACAATATACGGCTTATAATATAGAAGTAATTAAAAAAAAAAATACATATACGATTCTTTTTATTTATAATTCATTTAATTTATTTCTTTTATTTAAAAATAATATTTCTTAAAAATATTTTGTATAGTTATTTAAATATCTCTATTAACAGAACATATATGAGGTTATAATACCTATGAAATGTAATTTTAGAAGTAAGATTCGTAATGTTGATAAACTGTTTCCAAATAATCTTATAATGTTTCAGCAGCAATATTATACTTTCTAAACAAAACTAGTAAGTGTAACGCGAGAAATGGGCGTCCCTGTTTCGTTAGACATCCCTACGGGGAGCACTGCCATCACAGTAGCTTAGTTGACCATCGTAGTTTCTAGCAAGTGTTTCCCCGAACATGGCGGACGGTGCTTATTCGAATTTTCAAGGGACACAATGAAAGTGCACCGAGTTCGCGGCGGTGATGTCCGTGACTAAGGGCGTGTGGTAATCCTGAGGGTGGCTGACGTGGGTATCCGGACGCCGCTGTGATCGTTACGGTTGCATGCGTGCCGGCGTGTCGCCATCCTGACTTCACGAGATAGGGTTTTGCCGCGCCGCGATTGTGTGTCTCAGAGCTACCGACCGTGGCGGGGCCCCCATGGTTGTAAATGGCTGACGGGAATCGGAAAATGAGGGCCGAACGTCGCGCGTGATTCCACAGCTAAGACGCTGAGGTACGACATACAAAAGGTGTTCAGAGATCGAACGATATTCGCGCGGTCTTCTGTCCTAAAAACACCACCACCGGGTCCAAGCACCGCCCGGTGCTAGGAGCTGTCCCGGGGGTTGTTCGTGTCTATCGTATCACCAGTGTCTTCGTCAATTGATCGGTTTTTAGGTCTCTCCTATTTTCTTGATCAGCAGAAAGTTTGATTTCACATTGGATACTTGTCATCGATGATAAAAAAGTTCTCGAAAGTGTAGCCGCTCGTGCGCGACGTTTCGTCTTGTTTAGAACAGCATTTGTAGGTGCTCTCGTTCGTTAACGAGAGCGAGAGCGCGCGGACTGGTTTTTAATGAGATGCCGATCATATGGTCGTTATTTCTTTCGCAGGTATTTTTTTGCGATACTTTTTTGATTCTTGTAACGTACTTATCGCCACTTGTAATGGACACGTACAATAAATGAATGATTTGGCGGACGATCATCTATTTTACACATTTGCGTGGACCAAGCATTATGTGTACGTGCATGTAAGATTTGCTTTCCTTTCGGATTTCAACAAACATTTTAAAGAGAAGATTCTGTACTAACTAAGATTCTGTGGTTATATTCGAAATGTTAACTATTTTCTTGATGTAGTTCTTATTCTTAAAAAATTATTCAATCTTTTTTTATTTTCATAAGAGCTATTTCATAAGAGATTAATTGTCATTTTGCATTTTATAATTATAGTATTAAAAAATAATTTAACATATAAATATATATGATGGTTGTAACTAACATTATAAATATTCTTCTTGTTAATATCATTATTTAGCCTCAAAACAAAATAATATATTTTTTATATGTATTCATTTTTTATTGATTAAAATATATATAAACAAAATATTAGTTTAAAAACTGAATAATTTTATAATATTTTTGAAAACAATGGTTTTGAAATATTTCTAATGAAATTATCTATCTAATATCTCAATCAAGTTAAATAACTTTTTTTTTAATATATTATTTAGATTTGATTTGATTATAACTATTGCAATATATTAAAATATATTTCTATTGTTTTGTATGACTATAGAAACAGGGTAGAAAATGTCAGAGCCAGAAGAAAGTCTGGCAGCGCCGGATAGTACTACGAGGGAACAGAAATTGGGTTTCTCTCATGGGGATGATGTTCTTCTACAACACAAGGATGGAAAATTTTATCTTGGAACAATTGTTGAGGTATATTTGTATAACATTCTTTTATTATAATTGATTTTTTTTATGTCTTTTAATAAAACATGATTACATTGTGTTTCGCTGTTAGATTTATCATAGTTAGAAGTTTGACTATATTAAACACCTTATATATAGGTGGATTTGGCAAGGGAGAAATGCCTTGTCAAATTTATGGACAACACCTCCGCATGGTCCTCTGTTAAGGAGCTGACAAAGCTTTCAATGCCAGATTCTGATGTTATGTGCGTTCTTTGTAAAAAATCTCAGCCCAAGACTGATAATGACATTATAGTTTGTGACAAATGTGGTCGTGGTTATCATCAACTTTGTCATCAGGTAATAATATATAATTTGTATCTGTACAAAAAAAATTCATATAATTATATTGTTATTAACATATAATTAACATGAATACAACAAATTATAAAATTATTATAAAAAAATATATATCCTTACAGCCTCAGATATTAAAAGAAGAAACTGCAGCTGAGGCACATTGGATGTGTAAAAGATGTATAGATAGTCAACCAAGGACACGTGAAGTTATAGAACCAAAAACTTCTATGGTAAAGGCAAGTATCAGAAAAGTTTGCAGTGGTAGGGACCAACCTCAGCCACCACCAGATGATATGACAAAGTTGCCGTATGATGTAAGTATCTAAAATATATTAATTTCCTTTATAGTATTAATATTATATTTGATATAATTGATTAGTAATAATTAAGTAATTTTCTTTTAATCGTATTAAAATATTTTAATTTATTAGAAGATATATCGAAATATATTCATAAAATTTATACAGTTAATAATATACAATTAATATAGCCTATATTTATACAGTTAATATTTATTACAGCCTAATATGTTAAATTGGGATGTACATCATAGAGTAAATGCAGAACAAATTTATTGTTATTGTGGACTCAATGGTGAATGGTATACACAAATGTTGCAATGTGCTCGTTGCAAGCAATGGTTTCATGAAAAATGTGTTAGTTGCCTAACTTATCCTTTATACAGTGGAGATAGGTAAGATTAGATTATATTATCTTAAGACAGTAATTTTTTTAATTTAATTTCTAAAATATAATGTTTCATAATTGATATTATTTACAGATTTTATGTATTTGTTTGTTCAATGTGCAATTATGGCAAAGAATTCGTACGGCGACTGGAATTGAAATGGGTAGATCTGGTGCACCTGATGTTGTACAATTTGACTGTTTACAATGCTAAAAAGTATTATGATTTGGACACTGTTATTGTACCTTATGCCAATGATAATTGGAATACTTTACAGCTTCCACCTCGGGTAAGAAATTTTAATAAATTTTTGAAATGTGAATGTATTTTAAAATGTTTTTATTTTTCTTTAAAAATAGTTAAAAATAGATTATTTATAAATACATGTATGTATTTCTTACCATCAGATCAGGGATGTCAGTGCTCAAATACGCAGAGAATCTATACTAGGGATATTGACAAATAATAGAAACAGGTTTAAATGCGGTAGAGAAATAAAAAAACGTACTACGATATGGGGTCTTAGAGTTAGATTACCACCACCATGTCCAATTGTTAATCTTCCAGCAACTGGTGTAATAGATGATTCTGTGTTACGTAGATGCTGGGGTGCTAATAAAAGACTGCAATATCTTCCTCCACCTACAGGGTTAGTTATTGTTCAATTGTTCGAAACACGTGTTTTAATTATTTATTGATCAGCAGGATCTTAAAAAAAATCTTATTGTTTCAGACCGATATCTTTACCAGAAAGTACAAAACAATTAACTGCATTAAAACAAAGCACAGCAGAAAATTTAGAAATTCCAGTGAATCCATCGGATGTAGTGATGCGTGGAACAATTTATCAAAATTCGGAAGCAGAACAAAGTTCGTGTCCAAGTCCAAGTCCACCGAGTCAATCTACACAATCTTTACGAGAAAGGTAGATTCGAATTTAATTTATTGAAAAAGCGTAAAACAATTTGATAAAACACTTTGAGTTATTATTTTTTTTATTTCTTGTAGGTACAGTGGAGGTGGCTTTGTAAAAAAATCATTCCCATTTCCTAAACTCAGTTTACAAAGAAGAAGACGTTTAATGGCGTTAGGAAGTTCTCGCGAAAGAATGTTACGTAAACATAAGAAAAGAGAAAAAGGTGATGCTGCCTTGAGTAAGGCTCAAGGTGTTCGAGAAGCTAGATATAGAAAAGCAAGGAAACTGCTAAAAAATGCTATAGCTAAGGTATCATACATAATAAATGTAATAAATGGTATCACATATAATATTAGATTCATGTAACGAAAACAATAAAAATTTAAATGTTCATTAAAATAGAGCAAATCTCGAAACTCGGAAACATCTGATCTACCACCTACGCCTCCAACTTCAGTTTCTGGTCCACCTACACCCCCTGCTACAACCTCGGGTATATCTGAATTATCTGTGCCTAGTTCTGTGGAATTGATGTATCCTTTACCACCATCGACGCCTGCGGATACAAGTGGGGATGAAACTAGTTCAAGAGGGACTTTGGACTCCTTTATTCCACCACCCAAGGATTTTGAAGGCAAGAATAATCCTTTTAGAAATCTCAGTGATTTATTGGGTACACCCGGTAATCTCAATCAAACAAATTCAAGTACCCCATCACCGTACAATCAATGTCCAATCACATTACCTCTACCGCTTACTCCTGTTATATCTCAACCGCCGGTAGTACGGCCAGCCAAAAGACAATTATCGGAAAAAGACATTATTATAGACAGAAATGGGCAAGTAAAACGTAGACGTCAACATCGGAGAGGACGTCCGTCGCAACAACAAATACAACAACAATATCAACATACTGCCAGTAAGACGGCAACCATCTTACCGGCGCGTAATAACGAAGTTAAAAGTGAGTTTGCAAGGAATTTAAGAAGTTCGTTTAACGGTGCCTCAAGCAGTGCTAGTAGTCAAATTGGAAATTGTGTTGATTATGCCTTAAATGGAAGGAGACTTAGACAACGTCAAAGCAATGACAAATTACCACCCCCGGATCCGCAACCGCAAAAGAAAGGTAGTGTACCTTCATCTCCAAAGTGTTCACCCGTTAAACAAAGTGCGCCCGACATATCTCTGGATGATCTAAAGTCATCGGTGAACATATATTTTGGAGCAGCTAATAGAATCGCTGCTGGTGAAAAGTTTGTCATCAGAGCAAAAAGGATAGGACCAAACGGTCAGACTCAATACCTAATCGAGTGGGAGGGACTTAACACTTAACAATAAATAATTTGTTTATGATTATAAATGCATTGCAATCATATAAAATTTCCGTTACATCATCGAGAAAGAGCAGCGTTAAATTGTTGCTCGATCATTTTCAAAAGGCTCGATATGTAAGAGGAATGATTAGTGGCAAATTGATCTGTGTCACATGCACTGCCATTCGTTACATATTTTTATGTAATAAGTATGTATTATTAATTGGTGTACGATGTGTGACTGTTCTTGCAAATGTAAATTTTATTTTATTCGTTTAACAGATCAAGTCTTATGAAGACGCTGTTCCAAACAACAATAACAATGAATTCATTGCTGGACAATGAATTTGTTTTGCCGCTTATTCAAAATAAAATATCGATTCACATTTTTTTTTTTTTTTTTATTATTATCCATATAAAAAGCGTGAATTTTCTATTCGATTCAGATTTTTATATTTAAAATGTACCGTCCATGATTAGCTTCGATGCATAAAAATTCAATTAACGTTTGTATATCTATTTTAATATAAAGGCAAATAAAAAATGCATGTATGAAGGAAACATTTACAAGAACAATCAGATACATTGCTTTATAAATTGTATATATTGTAGCATAGTAGTTTCGCAGAAAAATCGACGAATGTAAAGCAAAGAGAATCATTTGCGCTGGATTTTGCATTCATTAGAGATTGGCCAATCGCTCCTTTTTTATGAGTTATGGAGCAGACCATGATCCCGATGACAAGAAAAAAAAAAAAAAAAAAAAAAAATGCGAATTGAAAAACTGACAATTGTTCCTCTCACTTGATCTAACATACTAGCGACCGTTAGTGGTTAGTGTTTAAAGAATAAAAGAAAAATATGGAATAAAAAAGAAAAAGCAGACATCCTGCAAAAGGTTATTTTTCAATACAATTGTAGAGATAGACATCCGCTTCTGTAACTTCATCTTCTTGAACTGTTGTCTACATCTTCTATCCATATGACAATATAAATAAAATCAAAATCATTAATTAACACATGATCATACTGCCACACTTGCACCAATTTATCTTTTATAGTTAAATTTTACGCTCGAATACATAATGTTTAATAAATATAGTCGCTAACAATGCAATTATTCATTAATACGAATCTTAGAAAAGAATTTTTTATTTTTCATAGACGGTTCAAGATGATGAGGATGCGGTTCTAGCATTGCTCATTATTATACAAGACTAAAAGGGAAGAACATACCTATTTCGTAATAACGTACAATTTAAAAAGTCGCAGGGCTGAGTACGTAAGTGGTTGGCCAAAGTTATCTGTGCGAAGGATAACACATTGTAAATTTTCTCTATGGTTTTCTGAATTGTGAAGGGGAGATCATTTTGAACTCGAAATGTAGCGAATCTTTATAAACTGTTCTTGTTACATTAAAAAGAAAAAAGAAAAAAAGAGAAAGAAAAAATGTAGGGCATGTGAAAATATTTGTTCGCATGTAATATAAACATTCGCGTAGACATTTTTCCATTATTCGAAAATTTGTTTTAAGTTTCTTCTAGAATGAATTTTAAATGAACGCTGATACGACTTGAATTAATAAAATTAATAATGAATATTCGTACAAAAATCATTTATACTACAATCATTTGTCTGGTTCTCGAATTATAAAATTGATACAGCACAGAATCTATGGTCAGAACTTACTGATCAGTAAGAAAATTTGAAAGAAAATTTGAACGATTCCTCGTTAAATTCTTGAATCGATAGAATTTATCAAAAATAATGTCGAAGAAATTTATTTTATTCACACAATTATACTCTTATACAATTCGAATCTAATTTTATTTAATAGTTTATTTGGGACGAGTATAGTAAGAATTATTATAATTAGAATGTAACAACGAAAAATTTTTAGTAAGAAAGGTTGTAGTCATCTGATAATCAAGTCTTTCTTTAGATAACTAAAAATACAGAGAATCGAGAGAAAAAATCATGTTTCGCGTAATCTATTCGATTTTGCGTTCGTTCATTTGATTTTTGATTTTTTCATAAAATAATAATAATAATCGTATGAATTTTTCCTAAATATCTGGATATGAGAAATCCGCGAGTCATTCATGCATAGACAGACTTACCTAAGATAGGTATTTTTAAGCGCTATTTATTTAATCTACTATACGTAATAATTTTTTTTTTTTTTTTTTTTTTTTTTTTTTTTTTTTTTTTTTTTTCTCTCCATTGTAACTCCTTTAGAGAGATTTTAAAAAAAGTCGCGACCGACTATTGTTTGTAAGTTTCGGTGAGGTTAAACTTTAGTGATGGTAAATTGAAATTAAATCAATTTCTATCTATATGTACAATTTTCTGCCAATAATTAAACACACTCATTTTTCTATATAAGTTTTTACATTGTTTTTCTTTCAAAAGAAATTTTTCTTTTGATTTTCTTCGCGTATTAGAAAAAGAATGTGTTCAAGTGTGTTCAGACTTTTAATCACATTATTATACACTCTACAAAATAGAATTTTCGTAACATTTTTGTACAATAGATACTCAAATGGTACGCATATCTTATTTCCAATTATGCGGTACTGCGCGAAGCGTTATTATACTCTCTAAAGGAAGCGTATATAGGTAAATATTGGACGAAGACACTGCCAAACATTTAAGTTATAATTTAATAAACGACGTTAGACAATATACTGCGCTATGATACGTTAATTTTTTCTTAATTAAACGTACGTTCTTGCGTTCTTTATATGTATAAGTTTCTTTCGTTCTCCCGTTTTCTTCTTCTTCGTTCATCGTTACGCACGAAGAACCGGAAACGAGGTGAACTTAAGTACAACTTAAACCGTTCTCGTGTACGTAGAGTTATTTTCTTTTCTTTTTTCTTTCTTTTTTGCTTGCGTTGTTAAAAAAAAAAAAAAGAAAAGAAGGAAAAATTAATAATAATATTCGTGCATTTTTCGCACGAATGATCGAACTCGCGATCAGACTACACAGAAGAGGAAGTTAACGATCCATTTTCTTTTCTCTCCTCGATCAGCGTCATCGAAGTTTCGTGATCGTTTCATTGTTTCTCATGTACGTTCAACTTAGGTTACTTAGAGAGAATGATGTAAGATCGACGTTTGTATCAGTGAACGAACGTATTGACCAGATTAATCATTTAATCAGGCGTTGCGTTATTACTCATTGTATTGTTAAACTATTTTCCCTCCCCCTTCTCCTTTTTCATTTTGTTACATTCTTGCGATCTATCATAAGTTCCACGAAAATGATTAATTTTCCGTTCCACGGGGGCCTGTTTTTCGTTGAGGTCTCCTTAAGTATGCCAATTCCAGATCGATGAAAATATGAAATGAAAAATTGCCAATTTCTTTACTTCTGCGAAATAATAATAATATTTAAAATCGGAGCCAGCAATACATCCTATCCCATAACCTGAAGATTAAAAATTTCCACCGATCATTGTCAAATCTCAATAAATGTTAAATCGCAATAAAATACGCCAAAAAAAATCCAATTTCATTTCATTTCAATTTTTATATTCGATCTGGCAACAAGGCGCCAACACAACAATGGTTCGAAAGCGACGAAACGACAGAAACGAAATATCCCAGAGAATTCCTACGAACGAACTCCGCTTAGAAATCAATCATCTCCTGTACAAAAAGTCAGCGTTTAGCCGCGTATCGTAGGCGAGGCGAATAAACAAAAATAGCTCTTATGCAGAGCTATTTTAATTTCCGAGGAAATGCGTTCGATATTAGTCGATCGATTTTCGTATACGAGCACGATTCGTGTCGGATCGGCGAGAGCTCGACTCCGCGTTTCCACATCGTGAAACAAAACGACAAAAAAAAAAAAAAAAAAAACGAAGATGTACTGCCAGTATCATATGTAAATATATTCCTCCCATCGTCCTTTCAGATACAACTGCCCCTCCCCCCTCCCTTTCTAGCCCTACGGTCCCCTCCCCGCTCCCTCCTCTTCCCCGTTTTTTAACGCAGATATTCCACGAGATACGCGAGGAATACGCATAGCTCTAATGTACGTTTGTGTAAACGTTTGTACGCGATTATTGGCGGAATATGAGGTCGTGGAGGAGATATTGTTCTTCTTCGACTCGCTTCCGAATGAATGCATCCGACCACATCCGTGCTATCGTGTGCGTGGTTCCGTTAGTCCACACTGCTCTTTCGCGGGAAGAAAAAAAAAAAAGGAACTTGTTCTTTTGAATATCAGAGAAAAGATAGAAGGGTCAGATTTATACCAAGTGGGTGGTCACGATTACTTTACTAAGGGTTATTTAAAGTGTATAAGACCCATTTATTTATATTTAATAGATTTTTCAATCTTGAAATATTTTATTGTTGTACTGCTCAATGTTGATGTACGATGATGTCTGTTAGTCGAAGATTGTAGCAATAATTCGAAAATAATATGTTATATATTTGTGTGTATGTCTATAGAAGATTTCTATGTGGAATTTATCAGAGTTTAGTTCTTCTTTCGTTATTTTTTTTTTTTTTTTTTAGAAAGTGAGAAGCTAAACTGATCAATCCTAATTTTTGAAAAAAAAAAAAATTCTTCATTTTAAGCGTTCAAATGTGTGATTGATGATTTGAAAAGAAAAATTAACCTTGGATGAAGTATAATCACCTTGGTTTCTAATTTGTATTTGCTAGTTTTCTTAGTTTTTTTTTTTTTTTTTTTTTATTTTCTTTTATTTTATTGATGACCGCCCATTTAGTAAACAAAATATAGAATAATATCTTTTCTCGACACAAATAACACAAATAACATTTTTTTTTTTTTTCATTCAATTGTGTACACACTCATCAACTCGTCAATCATTCATATAATAATCTTTCAGGCTTTTGTCGAAGCTTTTTTTTTTTTTTTTTTTCTCCGATAAAATTGAAAAATTCGAGTGCTGGTTACCCGAATAATTTGCCTTTCGTCGATAAATCGAAATAAAAATAAATATCAATTTTTTCCTCGTGAAAAAAATAATCCTTGTCGCGTGTTTCGCGATGAAGATTGAAATAAAAAAAAAAAAAAAAAAAAAAAAAAAAATGATCAATGAAAAATTATTAGCAGCTCTCGAATCAAGGGTACTTAGAATGGTCCATGTAAATACGTTTAGAGAATTTTTGTATGAAAAAATTGTTCATAATTACCGAACGTATATATTTAATAAACACAATGTTTCTAACAAGAGATAATATTTAATTTTAAGCAAACGATCATATGTATGTCTTTTCACGAACATTGTACAGGATGTTCTCGTTATAAATATTCTTGCATTTTTAAATATACGAAATATTCGCTAAAGATAGTAGGCGATAGAATTTTGTGTAATCATAAGTTTAAATGTTAAGTCTAGCCAAATATATTTCAATTTCGTATTAGTGTAATATTTCACTAATTTGAATTTAAATTTAATTTAGTTACATTTATTTATTTTATAAAATATGTTTATTTATTCGTTTTTCGTCCCTTAAAAAAAAAAAAAAAAAATGTTGTCCGAGTGATAAATTTTCGTATTTGTTTAGATTATGAATTGCTGAAAAGAATGATTTTTTTTTTTTTTTTGATTTTATATTTTAGTTTAATTTAAACATAAAATCTTATAGAAGCTTATTAAAATAAGCCAATAGAAGCTTACTAAAATAAAAATCTTCAGAATTTTTATAAGAAAGTAATTAATGTCGGGGCATTAAATTCTACATTATACTCTATATATAAAAATTCTGGAGAAGCCTTGATAAGTAGAAACTTATGGCTATAAAAAAGTAAAAAAATAGAACCAAAAATTAATAATAATAACTTGTGATCTCATTCACTTAAATGTAATGCTATTTGACAAATCATCAAACAAAAAATAATATATTATCAAATATTTTTTAGAAAACAGTAGTCTACAATAATATACTTTAAAAAAAAATCTTTATTAGTATTATATAATACATAAAACATGTATAGTCAAAAAAGACTTTTATAATTTTTTTATCATAATTTTTTATATTAAGTCTACGATAATTTATCGTAATTAAGTTCAATATTATTTACGTTCACTTAATTTAACGAATATTACGTATTTTAAAAATTCCTTGAATTTCTCAACATCTTGTACACACCAAAAAGATCGACCTGCAGGAAATACCTCAAACAACGAAAGCTCGTTCGAAAATAGGTGCCAACAAATTGCTAATAATTTTTCTGCGATACCCGATTGTCCGTAATATCTTTAAAAAAAATGTCCAATTTATCGTGAAATTTGCGACTTGCGTGGAAGAAAAGAAAGAAATTTTTTTTTTTATAATTTTCTCGAGCGAAGACATGTGACTACGAACGAATGATGAAAGTCTGAGAGAAATAAAGAGAGAATGTATGAATTTACGTGATGCGCGATCGTAACCTGTGAAAGATATCGAAGAAAAGGGGATAAAAACGTAAACGAGCGATCTTTCGATATGAACGGTTTCATTGAGAGAATATCGATCGAAATATGAATCGAATTCGAATCGTATCATTCCGATTTTTCTCTAAAAAAAAATTAATATAAATCGAATTGATCGAATAGAAACCGAGAGGAAGGAAATAATTAGGAAAATTTGAATTCGAAGTTTCGTCTTCCTTAGAGATTCGAGAAATGAAAATGAAAATGAAAATGAAAGAACGTGACAGTGTGATTTTTTGTGTGATAATTGAACCGTTTCGTTCAACGATCTCTTGGTTACGTTTTCGCTTACATTTCCATTCTTAAGGTTACTTCTGTAGCAAGATTGGGTGAGAAAAAGTGTATGAAAGAAAGAGAGAAAGTGAGCGAAAGATTGTATATACACCGCCTGCACTTTGTACGAATATTGCGATCATCGTTGTTCAGCGATCTTTTTGTTTCCTTTCGTCGTTTAATAAAGTGAATTCTTCATGACCTCTTCAATTCAATGAAACGTGATCATTTTAATGTTATTAATTTACCTTTGTTTTTATTTTATATTTATAGAATATATCTCGATTATCACAATTCTTTTTTTTGCAATTTTTAAGAAAGAAATTGAACGAACGAAGTATGTTCGGGAAATTTTCAGGTTTTTTTATTTTTTATTACTATAATACAATTTGATTGTT